GGACAGCTCAAATGCTATCTTGCATATCTCTGTATATTCCCAAAGCTAATAACCACAACATACTTCCTTATAATGAAAATTACCAGCCACTCAGAGGCTGGAAGGACTTGTAGTCACTTGCAGAGCTGTCTGGGCCATTCTTGGGTCTTCCTATACAATTTCCTCCAACTTCCACACATTGTCTTTAAGTACCTTGAATAAAAAGGGAGTCATATCTGCCACATTAGGAAATAGTATCAACTAAACAGTACTTTGCATGTTGTCGCTCATAAATGTAAAGAAACCCATTTCCCATATGAGCAGATCTTACTAGTTAAACTCCTTGTATATGCTTTCTCTCCTGTTCTTTGGACTACATTTGCCAGGGATCCAGCATCTAATTACCCATAAAGCATTTTACATTTTTCAGGGTCATGTCCTGGAAGAGGTGACAGAGCATACTCTTGTCAACTTTGCATATGGCACAAAACTGGGGCAAACAGTTGACACACTCTAGGGCACGGCTGCCATCCAGGGGGGACTAGACAGGCAAGAGGAGGGGGCTAATGGAAACTTTGTGAAATTCAAGACAAATTGTTAAGTCCAGCACGTGGGAAGGATGAGCACATTGCAATGATACAGGCTGGGATCTGACTGGCTGGGGAGCAGCTATGTGGAGAAGGTCTTGGAGATGAGAGCAGACATGTCAGCTGGATGTGAACGAGTCAGTAGCATGTCCTGGCAGCAAAGGCAGCTAACAGTACCCTGTGCTCTGTTAACAAAAGTATAATCTGCTGATAGAGGGAAGTGATTAGTCCCCTTTACTCAAAACTCAGACCACACCTAGATATTGTGTCCACAGGAAAGATACTGACTTTGTTTAGTTATACAATGAAGTCCCATTAGCCCATTCCCCTTGACTGTCTAGGTCCCACTGGGTGGCAGCATTGACTGTATTAAGCAGTTTCCTCAGTTCTATGTCTTCTGTGAATTTTATGACCGTGCACTCCCACTGCCTCCTCCAGGTCATTGATAAGCGTTGTTGAACAGGACTGGTCACAGTACAGACCCTTGAGGACTCTTGGTGACCTCCAAGTAGAGTACAACCCACTAACCATGACCCACTGAGCCTGAGCACTCAACTGGCTTTTTATCCATCTGGTTGTGAGAGATGGCGTCAAAAGACTTGCTAAAGCCAAGGGAAATGACGTTCACTGCTCTCCCCTAGTCCACAAATCCTCTCAATTTATCATAGAAGGCTGTCAGGTTGATCAGCCCTCACTAAATTCATGCTGACTGTTCCTTCTCATCTTTTTTATGTGCCCAAAAATGTGCTCCAAGAGGACTCACTTTATGAACTTCCCAGGGATTGGAGTGAGGCTGACCAGGCTGTAGTTCCATGGAGTTTGCTTTTGGCCTTTTCTGAAGACTGGTGCAACATTTGCTTTTCTCCAGTAATGAGGGACCTGTCTCAACCTTCATGACCTTTCAAAGGTATAGAGTGCACTCTTGCTACCACTTCAGAAAGATCTCAGCACTCTTGGATGCAGTCTGCCTGATCCCACGGATTTCCATGCATTGAACTCTCCCAGGCACTGACTTGATCTGCATCTACCTCTTCTCTGAACTATTTCACTTATAACAGAGAGCTGGGACACCCAGCTGGTGAAGACTGAAGCAAAGAAGTCATTAGGTGATGCAGGCTTATCTGTGTCTGCTGGTAGCAAATCACTTGTGTTCCCTTCGTTGATGCAGCATTTCCTCTTTTCAGCTTTTTATTACTAATGAATCTGTAGAAGCTCTTTTTTGGCCTCTAACATTCCTTGCAACTGTAAAGGTAAGCTTTGGCTTTCCTAACACTACTCCTCCACGCCCGGACAATTTTTCTAAATTCTTCCTTTGTATCTTGTCCCTGCTTGTACCTCTCTAAAGCTTCCTTTTTGCATTAGAGCTCGGCTATTCTGTTCTTAACGAAGCTGTTTTCCTGATAAAGGTGCTTATCTTCCTGAGTATTCTTGCACTTAGAGAATGCTGTCTTCAAATACCTACCAGCTTTTCTGAGCGCTTTTGCTCTTCAGAGCTGTCTCCCATGTCTCCCTACCTGCTAAATAAATAAATACACTGAAGTCCAGGGCCTGTCCCCTGCTTACCTTGTTCCTCAGTCCTTTAAGGTTCCTGAATACCAAGCATTTATTTAATGATTGACACAGCCAAGGCTGTCGTTGATTATCATGTCTTCAGATAGCAAACAGAAGATCTGGCTGTGTCCAGTACCAGTATCAACCAGTTATCCCAAACACTCTTCAGAAATCTTCCTCCTTGCATCTAACCATGTTGCCCTTCCAGAAGATGTCAGGGTCCCCTATGAGGACCATGTTCTGTGACACAGAGATTTCCTCCAGTTGTTTAAAGAAGTCTTAGTCTACTTCCTCACCTAGATCAGGTGGTCAGTAAAAAGCTCCCATTGTGCTATTTTAAATTTTTTTAATTGATCAAGTTAGTAGCCTTCACCTGCCCAAGTGATTTCATAGTCTGGGTACTTGGATTTCAGCTTCTCTTTAGGCACAGAACAATTTGCTCTCTCAAAACCCATGGCAAATGTATAAACATAGATGGTCTTCTCCTCACTCTCGCGAAGAATCCTTCTTGCCCCCAAGCACACACAGTCACATCTCTGCTTCTTAAGCTCTACCCAGTCATATTTGCACACAACATACTTGCTGGTGCTGCTCCTTGTGCAAGGTGTGCATACACACACTAGCACATATCTGAAAGCACTGACGGGATTAACATCCACACCAACAACATGCACCAGTCCCTTTGCTGCCATCACCACCCTGGCCTGCACACAACACTGCCACTAAAACCCCAATTTTACATGCACAGATCGTATAGGCTTTTTCAGGGAAATACACATTGACACCACTTTCAAAATGACTGGCCTCATCTCAATGAAAAGAAGAAACAATGCTGAAAATGCCATAAAAAGGGAGGCTTCTTCCTTTTCTTTCCATAGATAACTGGTTTTTGTGCTTTTTTCCAAGAATGCCACATGAAGAAGCTTGGCAGATGGATACTTCCTTTAGCACACTAAAATGTCTTAAAAGTTTTGCTTATCACAGTTAGCAATGGTCTAAAAACCTTCAAGATTAACTGACAAAGAAGTGCATGAAAAAGCAAATAGGACAGAGAGACCCTGCGGCCAACAGTGCAGTGTATCAACAAACTCAGAAAAATGTCATGAAGTTCCTTTAAGCCTAAAACAGTGGCTTTCAAATAAAAACTGAATTCACTGATGCTTATATGATAGCAATTTCTTTGATTCAAATTAACCAGTTGTTTTAGCTTGCATTTTCAGCTTCTAGTTATTGACAATATACTCACATCAGACTAATGGACAGACCTTTTTTCTTCTTTTCTTCAAGTGACTGTAAGGTTAGCTTCTTAGACTTTTGAAGTGGTTGGCCAGATGCTTTCAAAAGGAAGTTGAAGCATGTGAGTTTCAATCTCATTAAAAAAGTCTCTTCTTTTTTTTAAAAAACAAACTTTCCTTTTGTTCATATCAGCCCTTACTTTTTTAAAAGACCCCAAGAGAGAGTTCCAGTCTATAGATCACTTGCCCTGAAGAAAGCTCTCTTAACTATTTATAGATCATGTCCTTTTGTACCAAACTAGATCAAGCAATTTATTCAGTGCATGATGGCAGGAGAGAAATTCATTTGCTCTAAGTATCATCAAGGCAGCCTTTTACCTGCTATGAACAAGACCAGAAGATCTGAATTGCTGGGCTTTTACTTCAAATGCACATTTTGACATTGTATGGTGTGCCATCATTTCTTTCAAGTTTTCAAAGTATTAAGCACATTCATAGAATGGGGAGTCCTTAATCACAAGAGCAAATAGCCCATAACCACTAGAATAAAGCAAACATTTGTGCACACATTCAAATTATCTCTCTTTTCTCTACAGCAGCACATATAGATGCAAATTACCATTAGCTGCTTTGGTATATCTCACTTTAGAAATGGGAGCATGCCAGGCTACAGACCAAGGAGAGGAGTGCTCAACAGGCAACAGCTCCTCAGCTTAACAACACAATCAAAACAAAACAAGAGACAGAAGCAATGGCCTTCATCATCTCTAATTAGTAAGGGCTTTCTTCCAGCATTCACCACGGAAGTGATCCTCTCTGTAAAACCTAGTAGAGAGGCAGCAAAAATGCTCCACTGTGGCAAATGCTTTTTATTATTACTTCAGTTGTCTTTGTGGAGTCATTACTAACATGACATCTTGTATTTGTAACCTGCCTGAGCCCACTAAAGTTAAAAAAAGGGGGTGGGGGGGAGCTGAAAATAAGCAAGAAAATAAATCAGCTATTAAAAAATCACTGACATTTGCTGGCAACAGCTTCAGACACAAAAAGCACAGCTTGTTTGGGGAATATGGGTGTCTATTGCTATAGCACCAATGCAGAAGTGAAAAAGTGAAAACATGCCTTGCTTTCCTGTTCCAGTTGCTCTACTCTACCAAGACAAATTTCCTGGCTCTGCCTGGCTAAACACACTCCAGCCTGGCTACAGGTATTGTTCCTAGATGGCTGGAACATGGTGCAGGTGGTTCAAACAGTATTGCTACTATCGTGTGCATACAGGGCACTTTCAAAGTTGCACTGCACTCCAACTTTCCCTGGCCAATAGGATAATATCTTGGGGATATTCTCATTTTCTGTCTTGAAAAGGGGTCTAGCATAGAGACCAATGACAGAATCCCCGTCATTAAGAGCATTATGTTGGGAGTTAATACACTAGTAAAACAAATAGTGATAAGGTAGACACTGCTGGTTTAGTAGCTTTTGAGTCATGATTCATGCTTAGGTACTGAAAACAGTAGGCAAGCCTGATTTCTAAATGCCTTTCAGCTGCTGAGTTTCCATTCTTTCGCTTCAGAGGCACACAGGGATCCCATGCCCTATCCTACTCGACAGTATAAATTCTCGAAGAGTAGAATGACATTATCATACCAAAATGCCACTGTGAAACACAACAGACAAACTCATACTACTATTTTAGATAAAGAACTAGTTTTGGAATGCATTTTCTTTTTGTAATCATTCATCCTATATATATATATATATATAAATTTAGTGAAAGTTACACAATAAGGATACACGAGCTAAGAACAGATTTTTAAAATAAAGAGACCACATCACCAGAAGCTAGATCTCAAGCTTAAAGTCAAGAATTAATGAATTCCTGCCTTGACTGACAATATGTTGCTGACAAGACACACAAAACTCTCAAGCCTCTAATTCTTGTTTTCTTAATTGGGAGAGAGAGGTGGGAATTAATACTAGCTATTAAGAAACTCCCAATACCACTACTCAGACATCTATTTGGAAAAAATATCATCAGAGAACATAAACTGGGAAGATTATTTTTTAAAAAAACTTTTTTTTTTAAAATAAGAAAACAGGCAGACCAACACAGGCACACACATCCCCAACATTAAAAAAAAAAAATTACTAGTTCCTACTGGTCTCCTTTCTATCTCCTTCCCAAACTGAGAATTATGCATTAGGTAGACTTCCACATCTGATCTAAACAAAGCATACCACACCAATGTGAAGAGCATTTGAAATCACAAGGACTATATCCATCAACTGAGAAGTGTTTTATTTCACACACCATTTACAACTCTCAATACAGAGATCCAACAAAATCAGCAGGCTCCAAATTGTCTAATGAGAAAGAAAAGTAAAACTTTATAGTTGGAGGTTGCCTTGGCCTAGTTATATAGGGTGGATGCCCACACTCAACAATCTGCCACTGATTTCAACTACTTTTCTCATTGTACCACCATGGCAGCAAGGCTGTCTTCTCCTCAAATTAGTAAACAGCTAGAATAAGCAACAGTTAAAAAAAAATAAATAAGTGTCTTTGACTTAACATTGTGTAGTAACAAGAAGAAAGTACAGTGGGCAACTGGGTATGGATTTCATCCAGCAGTTCCAATTTCTGCTCTCAGTTGTCACAACAGGATATAGGGCAGCACTAGTCCTTCGTATACCCCCAGTCCAAGGTTATTCACCACTTAAGCTAAAAGCTTTAAATGCAAAATATCTGCTGTTGCATATCTTCCCCAATCTGCCCCAGATGCTTCAGGACAGTAAGTGTATTACAGAATCAAACCTGATTCTTTTTAAAGCCAAACCTACTTTGGATCTGCAACCCAATGTATACCCTTCAATCAAAAGCCACAGGGAACACTTCTGTATGCTGTATCAATCCACTGGATTAAGGAAAAAAAAATGCTAACAGAGTAGCCACATGGTTTCCCAAGTATAAGAAAAATAGTGGTTGTAGGAGACCCTTTCTTCCTCACAGCCAGAAGACAAAAAAAAAAAGCTACTTTCATTTTTGAAATTAAAAAAAGCATTGAGGAAGAGGAGACTAGATGCAATAAAAAATACCTGTAAACCTATTCCCATTGTTTGGTTAGTTTCCAAGTTTAACAATTTCAAAATCAAAGCAAGTGTTTCAACTGATGACTTTCGAGAAGCTGATCAGAAGTAATAGCATCACCAGAGGCTTACCAAATCCCTTCCACCATTCCCTGCTCCCCAACCATATAACTGAATCATCTCTCTTGGGCATGTTTGACCAGCACCAAGACAACAATACTCATTTTTATCAAAACACAGCAGCCATCTTGCAGGGAGAAGAAAGAACTGTAAGGAATTATCAGGAATAGTAGTAGGCATATTCACCCTTTAGAAATGCCTCCTCTTGCTTTGAAAATAAGCCTAGAAAAGGGAGTAAGAATGTCACCACTCCAGAGGGGTCAATGATAAATAGAAAAGGGAGGTACATGGGCCAGTGCACAAGGGATAAGGATGCAAAGCTGACGCAGCAGGGAGAAGATAAGATATCCGGAGAGTCATAAGCCACTTACACAAAAGAGGCAATACTAAAAAGTTTAGAAGTGTTTCATAAGCAGAACAAATCAAGTCACGCAGCAATGTAAAAAACTATGTTTACATCTAATACTATTTACCTTAGCAGTTAATGGGATTGCATTGTTTATGTTAACAAACTGATTACCATGAATTCACTCAAAAGGCATAAAAGTACTGTTTGTGACTAGATGCCTCTTTGAATCCAGTATTTCCTCATGGTTCCAGTTACTTACATTAACAGGTGATAGTGACTTGCTACTGACTTTTACCAGGGAAACTCAAATTCACCATGCTAATAGAACCAGCTAAATAAGAAACTATATTTCCTTCAAAAATGCCATGTAAATTAAATTTGAGCTCTTTTTTATGTTTTGGGTTGAACAACCTTAATTACATTTTTAGCACATAAAAGTTGATATGGAAACTATCCCAAAAGTTGTTTGGAACATTCAGTTTTCCGATCTACGTAAATGTAGGGGAAAAAGTGAAGTGCACACCCTGAAACAATTTGGCATTAGAGACAGATTACCTACATCCTTTAGCATTAAACAAAGATAATTTCCTCAACAAAGAAACCTCATGAAGCTATTACAATACAGTAACTACAAAATCAAAGTCAGCACCTGCTAAACATCCTCTTTATTTTAATCACCTGTAAGTATTCAGACTTTGGGCAAATCAAAAGTATATATCTTTATAAAAGTTGTCAACAAGAACAGAATAATTTTTACACTGCCCTAAATAAAACATGTAATCACCACACATTAAGCTGCATATTTACTACAACACTGTGAAATTCTGGAGATATGAATTAGATATCAATTAGATACTAATTAGAAGAAAACATACAGAGAATACAAAACAATCAAGAGATC